GGTGGCAATTCCACTATCGAAATGTTTTGTTTGATGCAGTTGGTGCGATATATTATCAGGCTGATTAATAGCTAGTATATTTGGACGATTGGTAAACGAGGCGGCATATCGAGAAGGTGGCTTAGAGATGAGATAGGAGGAAGGTTAGGAGAGAGCTTAGTAGGAGGACGGGTGGCTCTCCTAGTCGGCGAGGCGAGTTGGCCAGGGACTAAGTTAAGAGAATTCGTCGTTTGCCCTAGTGAGCTGATAGACAGGGGCGTGGCTAAATGCAAATGTGGGCGTTTACAGGGAGGTTGCCTTGGAGCTAGTGCCAGTCCTTGCAGGTCATCGCTGGTGACGGGTACAAGTGGTCGGTTGTTGAGTATTCTTTCCGCCTCTACCAGAAATATACTCAAAGTTTCATCATCCGGCACCTGTTGTCCACATAATGCTGTTAATATTTTTCGTACCGACCTTATGAGCCGCTCCCAAAATACCCCGCGGTGACTGCTGTAGGATGGATTGATGTGCTTTTCGGTTCCAGGTGGCGACAGTCGGTCTTGCAGGGCACATTTGCGTAACCGCATCAACCAGCTGCTCAGCTCCTTTTGTGCACCGGCAAAATTGGACCCGTTGTCGGAGAACACATTGGATGGGTTGCCTCGTTTACCCACGACTTTCTGCCAGGCCATAAGAAAGGAGTCGGTCGATATGCTGTGTACGGTTTCTATATGCAAAGCTCGCGACTATAGGCAGGTCATCAGGCATCCGTACCGTTTCTCCATCAACGTCTTTCGTTTCATCCAAAGTGGCCCGAAGTAGTCTACCCCAGTTTCGGCGAAGGGCCACCAACCTGGTCTTACTTGGAACTGGGTAACAAGGCCATCAGTTGTTTGCTGAATGTAGCAGTCTACCGACGACAAAAGAGACAGTTGCCCACGATGCGCTTCACCATAGCTCTCCCTTTTACTATCCAAAACCGACGGCGAATCTTATTGAGTAAGTGATTTTCCCCGGCATGACCTTCCTGCATGTGAATATATATAATGAGCGTGTGCGTGATGTGGTGGCTGTGGGAAATATGTTGGGGCCTTTAGCGTCCAAGTCCAACTCAGAGTTTGTCAATCTACCGCATACTCTCAGCAAACCATCTACCAATATTGGACAGAGTCTTCGGAGAAAACTGCAAGGTAATGCACGTCGGCCGGAGTCGCGATTCCTCTTGCCTAACCTCTGAAGATCCGACGGGACGGCTTGCAATTGAACCATGCGAACAACATCAGCTTCTGCTGTTTCAATTCAGTTGGAACGATGGGCCCAATATTCAAGGTGTCATCAGGTCGGAGTCCTCTCAGAATAAGGAGTTGTCGTTTGAACCTGGTACACCAGACAACCACCCTCAGCACCTTCGTCCATCGTGAAAAACGATTCAGTTTCTGCAGTAAGATGTTGTTTGAAGCAGCGACTAACGTTGCGGCCCTCCTAGTCTCTAGTAACTTCGTTGCGACAGGGGAATCTGCGTGTCGGGCCATTCGCTGGGCTGGTCCGTCAAGAAGGCCGGTCCATGTAACCACGATTTTATTTTTTCCAAGTTCAGCACACCCCCTGCATCAATAGTCGGCTGGATTGTCACACGATTTTATGTGCCGCCATTGACAAATCTCCTTCGTGAATGACAGCCAACCGGTTGGCAACAAGTTTGCTGAAGCGCGTCCGTACATTGCTAACATAGTGAAGAACTACGACGGAATCAGTCCAGTAAGTCATGGTTCATTCCATCGAGTTGAAACATCTTTTGATCACCTTCGCTACCCTCACGGCAATAATGCTGCGGCCAGTTCTTGCCTGGGTATTGAGACTGTCTGTAGAGGGGCGACCCTGGCCTTTGCGAACAGAACACTGCCATGCCTTCTTCCTCTTGACCGAGACGAGAAACCGTAGGCCACCACCTCGTATCCCACTTCCGACGCGTCCGCAAAACCGTGTAACTCACCGTGTTCTCCTTTGTGCATTCTTGGTATGGAAAGAGGGAGTCGTATATCGCCCAGCTTGGATAGGCTCAGCCACCAGCTTTGCCAGGACTGGTGATCCGCTATGCATAGGGTCTCATCCCAAGTGACCTTTTTTCTACAGAGATCCTGCAGCAGAATCTTACTCGGTAGTAGCCACGGTGCGACGAACCTCATTGGATTGTAAAGGCTGGCCAACGAAGACAGAATTCTTCTGCGAGTCACTGTCGTCTCAAGTAACTGGAGTTGGAACAAGAATTCGTCTTTCTCCGAGTCCCATTGCACACCAAGTGCTCTATCTGTTGGTAACGGACTCCCATGA